CTTCACTCTATGTTGTAAAGGTTCTCTTTCTCAATGGTCCTCTTGTGCTTCTATGTCACTCTCTTTTTTCTGATTTTTCTTCCTTTTTATTTTTCTGCTTTTTTAGGATTTCTCTTGCTCTCTCTATTTTCTGGTTTTTGCAATGTGTGTGGATGTTGAATGTGTGAAGAGTCCCTGAATTTGTTTACAGCCCCCTCCTTCTTATCTCTCCCTTCTAGGGTTTTCTCTTCACCCCACATATCAGAATTTTTTCATGGGGTAATGTCTCTTACCACCTTTCCTCATGTCACTCTCTTTCTTTCCATTTCCATGTATATGGCTATGCTGCATTTTTCTGCACTACTTTCCCATGCTGTCTTTTTCTACAGCCCTCTACATTGCTGTCTTTTTTTCTGCTACACTTTGTATCTTGCATCCCTTTTGTTGGCTTGTGTCTTGACAGCTCTTGTGGTCAATGCTACTACCCTTTTGACAGCATTTTGAAAAATCTGATATTTAGTATATAAATGCATCATTGTGGGTTCATTTCCTTGGTCTTGTGACATGCATATTTTGTGACATGAGGCAACTTGTTATTTCTTGCATGGGGCTGCTTTGGATCACATTAAAACCACCATTGGCCAAGCATGCATTGTCTTGATCTTGGCATGAATTTGATTAGAAACTTGAATGAAGATTAGAAATAGATTAGTTTCTAAACATTATTTAGAGTTGGAAATCTTGTAACACATGACATTCTTGTAATGTCATAAAATTTCTCTTTGTCACATTCTTGCCTCTAATCTTAAATTCATAGATCTTGACTTTTGCATGACGGATTTTTCTCCTACCATTAAACTTGAAATGGATGAAGTCTTAAATTATGCACTTGTGATCTTGACTCATACTTTGCAAATTTGAACTCCACTTGACCAAGAATTTGAAACAACATTGAATGAAGCAAACTTGAATTTGGCCTTGCATTTCATGTTCATTATGAATATTTATCTTGAATATCCCAATATTTTCAAGTAACTTCTCCTTGAAGGAATCTACATGAGTAGACTTTCCATCTTAGATCAAACCTTAGGTGATTAACCTTTTCTTCCATGCATTCCATGATAGGACGTTTATCTCATTTAAAAATGGAAAATAACAAACCGATCCAATCCGTACCTTGTGAACCCACATGCTCGATATGCAATAGAACGATGTACGATATGGTGAATGTAGGGTATAAAGGCTAAAGGTGAAAATGAGGGTGTGACAATGTTGTTGAATGCTATTTTAGTTTAGTAAAGATGATTTATGCTCCATCATGATTTTCGGCTGTCTATTGACAAATTGAGGAACTGATCACCCTTAATATCTTGTTGATAGTAGATGGGATCATGTTTGATGGAATAAACGTATCTTGCAAGCTTAGATGGTGTGTGTAGTGAATTGTGTTGAGTTAAGCTAAGTGCTTACAGATTGTTTTGATGAGTCGGTGCTGGATGGTGCTGAGATATTTATTTTGATGGAAACTTTGAGTGTTAATGAAAGTGGGGAATTGGTGGTTTGCCAATTATTTGTGATTGCTCGGAAGTTTTTCCTAATGAGATAAGCGATTTACCACCGGAACGTGAAGTGGAGTTTACGATCGACTTAGTTCCTGGAACTAGTCCGGTATCGATGGCTCCATATCATATGTCCACATCGAAATCGAAGAAGTTGAAGAGACAACTTGAAGATCTGCTTGAGAGGAGATTCATTTGTCCGAGTGTGTCACCGTGGGGTGCATCAAGAATAAGTATCCACTTCCAATGATTGATGATTTTCTAGATCAATTGGTTGTTGCAAGTGTGTTTAGTAAGATAGATTTGAGATCTGGGTATCATCAGATTCGTGTGAAGGCTGAAGATATTCAGAAGACTGCTTTTAGAACAAGGTATGGACATTATGAGTATTTTGTGATGCCATTTGGTGTGACTAATACGCTAGGTGTATTTGTGGAGTACACAAACATGATTTTTCCATCCGTATTTGGACGAGTTTGTGGTTGTGTTCATTGATGATATTTTGATATATTCGAAGAGTTAAGAGGATCATGCTGAGCATCTGAAAACTGTGTTATCAGTGTTGAAAGAGAAGCTGTTGTATACTAAACTTTCTAAGTGTAATTTTTGGTTAAAAGAAGTGAGGTTCCTTGGCCATGTGATCTCGAGTAGAGGTATTGCAGTTGATCTGTCGAAGGTTGAAGCTGTATCGCAATGGGAAGCTCCAAAATCTATTTTTGAGATTAGAAGTTTCTTGGGTTGGCAGATTATTATCTAAAATTCATTGAAAGATTTTCCAAGTTATCTTTTCCGTTGACGCAGTGGACTAGGAAGGTTCAAGCTTTTGTTTTGGATGCAAAGTATGAAGAAAGTTTCAAGAGCTTTTGAGAAGGCTGACAGCAGCTCATGTTTTAATTTTGCCGAATCCGACAGAACCATTTGTTGTATATTGTGATGCTTCGTTGATCGGATTGAGAGGTGTGTTAATGCAACATCAACAAGTTTTAGCTTATGCTTCAAAGTAACTTAAAGTGCATGGGAGGAATTATCCGACGCATGACTTAGAATTGACCGCTGTTGTATTTGTGTTAAAACTTTGGAGGCATTATTTGTTTGGTTCGAGATTTGAGGTGTTTAGTGATCATAAGAGTTTGAAGTATCTCTTCGATCAGAAAGAATTGAATGCAAGGCAAAGGAGATGGTTAGAACTTCTGAAAGACTATGATTTTGGTTTGAATTACCATCCGTTAAAGAAAATGTGGTAGCTGATGCATTGATTTGGAAATCTTTACATATGTCGATGGTGATGGTAAGAGATTTGGAAATGATTGAGCAATTTTGAGATATGAGTTTGGTTTGTGAAGAGATTTCTTATGGAGTTAAGCTTGGTATGTTGAAGCTTACTAGTGGTATTATGATGAGATTCGATAAGGTTAGAAACCTGATTTGAGTTTGGTAGATCGATTGACTTTGATCAATCAAGGTCGAAATGGTGATTTTCGGATTAATGAAAATAATGTATCATGAGATGTCGTGATAGATTTTGTGCTCCAGATATTGTTGAGTTAAAAAAAAGTATTCTTGAGGAAGAAAATCATAGTGGATTGAGTATTCATCCATGTGCTACTAAGATGTATCAAGATTTGAGGAAAGTATTTTGGTGGCTTAGTAGGAAGAAAGAAACTGCAGAGTTTGTGTATTCTTGTTTGACTTGTCAGAAGTCGAAAATTGAACATCAGAGAAACCGTCGAGTTTAATGCAACTGTTACGCGGGTAACGCGCAGATGGTCAGTTTTAGCTGTGGATGTCGTCGATGACTTTTTGGAGTTTTTGGCTTTTGGTTGAATTAGAGGGTCTTGCTTTGATAGTGTAACATCGGGTTGGGGTCCTTGAGTCAAACTATATTTTATTGAGTTTTTGTTATGTTGATTTCCTTGCGGTGAAAAGAAAACTTTGGATTTTGATTTTTGAGTTCTGCTGTCAATTGAGCATTTTTGAGTAATTTTGAGAAAACCCGTTGCTTATAGAACATTGACCTTAATTTGAATTTATTGAGAAATGTACACCCTTTGAGGTGATTTATAATGTTTAAAATTTTACTCTGATAAATTTGATTATTTTTCCATAATATTCGTGGGGTAGGAAAGAGTGTTACATCGAAGACCTACATGTTGTAGCCGAAATGTGTTCTAGTATGTAGTTGTCGAATTGAGCCTTGTGTTAAAGATCCAATTGTTTAAGTTAGCTTGTACCCTAAGTTAACTTGAAATAAGTAATTATTAATCCCATTATTTTAGTATGTTAGGTTTATTATAAATAGCATACTAGTCTCTCATCTTAAGTGTGGCAAATCCTATTTAGGGTGAGAAAATTATTTGTTATTCTTGAGTACTTGTAATCTGTTTAAAGAGAAAATAAAAAATAACAGTTATAACCAATCTTTGTTGTCGTTCTTATTTGTTTTTCCGTTAACCCTAACCCTTGTGTATTTCTTGATCATAAAGAAATCGTTTATACTTTGTTTCAAGGTATCGTTTTTCACAACACCAAGAGTTTCTGTAATCCCGACGTCTCAGATTTTGGTGGATTGATTGAAAATGCTGATAATGCTTGAATTCATAGTTGTGCGGGTAATATTTGTTATTCTAACATCACTCATGCTGAGCTGATAGCGCTATATCATGATTTGCATATGATTTGAGAACTTGACATCAAAGACTTGATGTCTTATTCTAACTCCAACTCTGCTATAAAGTTTATCTTAGAGTCTGACAATATTTGACATCATTATGCCGCGATTCTTCACAACACTAAAAGAACTTATCTCTAGACAATGACGAGTTCAAATATTTCATACTCTTAGAGAGGGCAATGCATGTGCTGATTAAAAGTATTAAGTAACGATCATTTGCAGAGCCTCTCGTTGAAGCCACCACTCTCTTACTATATGATGTCAGTGAAATTTTATTTTATAAATAATTTCATGCTTTTTTTTCCTTTTTTTTTTGCTTGTAATTTTTATTTATTTATAATAAAGTAAAAAAAAACAAAGTAGATTTTTTATAAAAAAGCAAAGTAGATTATTTTTATACTTAAAAAATAAAATAGGTTAATTTTAATTTCTAATTTTTATTAAAGAATATTTACCCAAAAATATTATTATGCAAGAAATAATGCAGAAATTCTAATGATATGATATGATGATAAAAATTATTATTATTAATTTATTTATTTATTCAATTTATGCTCTTTAGTTCTTACTACTAAATAGTTCATTTTTATTTCATAATGTCAGTTTGCAAAGTTTGAGTTCTGCATTGAAACTGAAACTACGCCGCCATTGAAACTGAACTACGCCGCCATTGAAACTGAACTACGCCGCTGGTTCGTATAGTGAATTTATCTTCTTCACCACTCATCCTTTTCCATAGCTGTTCCTTGGTTAGGGTTCTGTGATTCGTTTGAACTCTGAAGGAGTAGGAGATGGAGATGGAGATGGAAGGTGAGAAAATCTTCGAGGTCGACCTCGGTAACCTAATGGCGTTCGACTCTCATCATCCTTTTCCTTCCCAACAACAATCCAGGTTCCTTCCTCCTCCCCGTTCTTCTTGTTCTTATTTTGATTTTCAATTTTTAATTTATTTTCTAACCCTAATTCGTTTATTAGGGTTGAACTGGTGAATGAGTGTTTACAGAAAGGTACTGAGTTAGTTCAAGCTATAGCTGATTCTCTCTTTACTTTGCCATCAACAGAAGATATTGATGGACCCCTTGTTAAATTGCCTCCACCAACCACCAGATTACCCAGAGAAAAACATGTATTAATCGTTCTTTCTCTGTTCAGTTTCATTGTTATTATTATTGTTAACCAGTGGAATCATTTGCTCATGAAGTTTTGTAATGTTTTTAGTTCCCAAGGCCCAAGCCTCCTACTAAATGGGAAACTTTTGCACAAAAGAAAGGTTAGCTGCTTCTCGCTGCTTGTCCCACTGCTTTGTGTTTTCTGATTTGAATTGGGTTAGGGTTGCCCAAAAGAAAGTTTACTTGCGGAAACTTTAATTATGTATTATTTTGCAGGCATTAAGAATAGGAAGAAAGACAAAGTTGTTTTTGATGAGCAATCTGGAACGTGGAAACGCAGACATGGGTATGACCGTGCCAATGATGAAGAAGCTATACCTATTATTGAAGCTAAACCAACTGATGGTAAATAATTGTATATATGCATTCCCTCACCAGCTGTTTTTTTTCTTCCTTCTTTGTAGTTGCAAATGCTTAATCATAACATGAAAGTCACCTTCTTAGCTTTCAAGAGTAGTATATCATGCATCTATGCAATGTACATCCCTCGGTTATGGCTTCAAAATTTGGAATTCTGATCTATAGATATTAGTTTTTTGTAGGGTAATTTATCTTGTTGAACTAAATTTTGTATTTTGGACATAAATATTTGTGTTAGTGATAATCTAGATCAAGTTTGATTGAAGTTTAGTTGTATTTATTTCAAATCACTTACAAATGATACACAAGAACCTCTGCGCTGTTATTATTTTTCAGACTAATTTAACATTAAATGTGTTACTTTTCACGATTTCATAAAAAAATTCATACTGAGACTTCCCATTTTTACTGTTTTGTTTGTACTCTATTCAAAGCTATAAGGTGCTATACCGATAATAGTATTGTAACATTTTGCAGATCCAGATGAGGATCCTTTTGCTAAAAGAAGAGAAAACAAAAAGGGGAGAGTTGATAAACAGGAGAAAAATCGGCTACAAAACTTGAAGAATGCTGCAAAGTTTGGGGCTTTGCCCAGGTTGCTCTCTTAACCATTTACAACTTGCCTTGAATTTTTTGTTGCATGATGGAATTCTATCTGTATCTATCCATCATCATATGCTCGTAATTGTGCATGCAGTTTATTGTATAGGAAAGTTATTATAATCTCCCCCGAGGTTTGTGTGAATGCAATTGCCATCCCCTCTATTTTTCCAAACATAAGTAACCTCCCATGCTGATAGAATACAATGAACTGTCAAAGAGAATATAAAAAAAGCCTTCTTTTATTTCTAAACTTGATACTCCACTCTTTGGTTCCATCAAAACCTGAAGTGTCTTTATCTCAGTGCTAAATTTAAATAGCTAAATAGAATTCTCCTAATAATTCTTGTTTTTTCTATAAATATTTGATAATGAAGTGTTTGCATTCCATTTCTCACAGACTACGAAAAATAGCCATTCTCTGGACGAAGGGTCCATGGGTTGGTAGCTGCTAGAAAAATGGATTACACCCATAACGTTTCTCAAACAAAAAAACTTAGCTTTGATGAGTTTTGAAACATAAAATTGATATAAAAATAGAAAAGTGGTGTTTAGAGACGTGATTGGGTGCTAAATTTGATGTCATCATGCGTAAAAAAAATGCATGTTTGATTGCCATAATATGGGTTTCAATTTAGTTGCTGCTATGTGTCAAATTAATTATGTTATAGGTTTTTCAACTTACATAGGAAGAGCCAATTAACCCTGATCCTTAAACTAAGCATGCATTTTTCGACCTAGTTAAAATCATGTTATGTACTGTCATGGCCAAATTGAATATGTACCAAGTTATGGTTCCTTCATTTGTTCAATGTGTGGGAAGAAATAACCAATTAAGCCCATCAAAAATTTAATATATAGTGCTCAATATACAAAACACTAGCTGGCCTAAAGAAGCTGTTACATAGAACTACTCATGCTATAATCTGTTGCGACCTCGCTCTAATTTCTTTGCATTGTTTTACACTTGTAAGACTGTAACAAACACTCTGGAATGAGATCTAATAGTTTCCTATGCAGCCATGTTCAGTTGGCTGCTACATCTTTGCCCATAACAGGAACCCAGGCAGCACCAAAGAAAGCTACCAAGGATGAATTGGGCAATGTAGCAGGAATAGCAGCAACTGCCACAGCTAGTGGTGGGAAATTTGACAAGAAATTGCCAGGAGAAAAGCCTGCACAACATAAAGGAAAATACCGAAAGGTGTGCATTATATTATTATGTGCACTATAGAAGAAATTAGTTTATCTTAATCTTATCCATGTAAAAGCAGCTATATTATTATGTGTACAAACAGTTATCTGTCATTAAATTTGCTGATTAGCTTCCTTTTGTTCTCTTTACATCTAGTTCTTGCCAGTGGCAGAAGGAACAGGAATCGGATCACTTGAGAGGGAGCAAACTGAAAAAATATTGAACAAGATCATGTCCAAGAATAACCATGATATACTCAACGTTAACAAGGTACATTCATTTCAAGTCATCTAGTAACTAGTGACATTGATTTCCATTGTTATAACGTTTTGCTTGCTGTTTTATTTTGTTCTTTTCATAATGTACTCCGTATTCTTCTAGGCTGTCACAGTGCACAATGTGAAGAAAGAGAAAAACAGGAAGAGTGATAAATCCAAGGCCTCATCAAGCAACAAATTGAAACCTCAGAAGAAGTCTTTTAAGAAGGGAAATGCAAAGAAAGGCAACCCAAAAGCACAGTAATTTAGATATTATCGAAGCTTGTAGTTTTTTGGAAACACTTAGTGGTTTAAAGTTTAAAGTTTTGTAGACGAATATTTCACATATCTATTATTGTTAACCATTTTTTCATGTTGTTTAAGCTATCAGAACATCAGATATTTCGAGTGATTATCATTCAAGAAGTTACTTGTATTAATAGAGCAAACTTAATGTCATATTATTTTTTGTACCGAATTGTTAAAGAAATTGACCTCTTCAAATTGAACTACTATCATTATAAATAATTAAATACCCCCGAATTATGAATAGAGATTAATTGGTATGAAATGTTAAAATAGAAAAATGTTATATTATTAATTTAAAATTATTTTGTAGGGTCAGAGCATATCAATAAATATGACCATTTTTGTTTACCTTAGATATCCACATTGCCCTAATATGACCATTTTTTACGTTAGATATCCACATTGCCGTGAAAGCTAACAACATAGTGGCTTCTTAGCTTTCACCTTTACAATGCCTTGGGATGCAAGAATACCAACACAATGTTATTAAAGAAAATTGTTTTACCGTAAATTTTAATGATAGTGCTTTTTAAGTTATATTTTCAAATATTTATTAGTTTTTATTTTTAAAATTTTTAAATTTATTTTTCAATAATTTTAATGATGATTTTACAAAATTACTTTTAATTTGTTCATATAAAATTAACTTTATATCTTTAATATATATGTTTTTTTTATATGTATGAAAAGTTTAAAACAATTTAATCGGAAAGCAGTATTATATTAATTTATAGGTATTGAACTATGTATCAAATTTATAAATTTTTAATGGAAAATTTATACTTAGTAATTATACTGCCTTTGTACAATTTTTTATATAAAATTTTGTGCTAAATTTAATATTTTTGATGTTTTTTTATAAAATATTTCTATTTAAAGAACCAATAAAACGCAAATTATATAAGTCTCTTACAAATAGAGTACATACATAAAAATAACAACTTTTTGAAAAATTTATTATTACAATGAATCATGTAGATGGTTTAATTTTTTTTGGTATAATAGATTAATGACCAAAATTTCTGGATATTGCAAAACCACCTATAAAAATTGAAACAGTATACATTTATGCATGTCTTGGACTAAAGTTTATACTTCTTTACATATATGCAACACTTGTTATCATCTGTATGATTTCTCTTTTTAAAAATGTTATTATCTGTACTTTTGTGAAACTTGAAATAACAGATGTCCATGCCCATGTTAGCCTTGTTTTTATATATATATATAAAATATTAGAATGTTAAAGAAGATGCTTCTAACCGCTTCATGAATTGAAATTCCAAAATCATTGCATCCCAATTCCAGTTCTTCTATCTTGGCCTTATCTCATCATCTCCAATTCCCACATTCATCCATCGATCAATCCTATGAATCAATCAATAAAATATCTTAAATTAAATTAATCAAAATCCTCTGTTTTTCCCTGTTTTTCTCTGTTTTCCTCTGTTTCTCAGATCATCACCACCATCGTATTGAAACAACAAATCCATTTGAATTTCTTTATAACCCATTTCATAATCTTCATAACCCATCACATTAATCATAAAAAGTTTCATTTTTTAAAATTTATTTTTCCATGTTGACAAGATTTTCAAAATGCTTCAGTTTCACCGCTTCCAGAGACTGGTTATACCGTCATACCTTCTCCGTCGCCGGTCTCCGGTCAGCAGTCACGGATCTCGGGGACGGAACCATCATGCATTGTTGGGTGCCCAAATTGCATAATCCATCTAAACCAACACTTGTTCTTGTTCACGGTTTTGGTGCCAATGCAATGTGGCAATACGGTGAACATCTTCGACATTTCATCCCGCATTTCAATTTGTATGTTCCTGATCTTCTTTTCTTTGGTGGATCTTTCACTTCACGGCCTGAGAGGACAGAGTCTTTTCAAGCTGTGTGTTTGAAGAAACTCATGGAGGCTCATGGTGTTAAGAGGTTGAGCTTGGTTGGGATAAGCTATGGTGGATTTGTTGGGTATAGTTTGGTTGCTCAGTTTCCTGAGGTGGTGGAGAAGTTGGTTTTGTGTTGTGCAGGTGTTTGTTTGGAAGAGATTGATATGAAAAATGGGTTGTTTAGGGTTTCTAGTTTGGACGATGCTTCTAGTATTTTGTTGCCTCAAACTCCTGATAAGCTTAGGGAATTGATGAGGTTCTCTTTTGTTAAACCTGCTAGGGTTGTGCCTTCTTATTTCCTTGAAGATTTCATTCGGGTATGTATCAATGCTTCTCTCTTTTCCTATAATTAAATATGATCTCTCTAGCACCCTCACTTCTGCATATTTGAATATTAGACAGCGTAGCACCCAAACTTCTGCATATTTGAATATTAGACCGTGCAACAGTTCTACATATTTGAATGTTAGATAAACATCTATACTTTATATATTTGAATATTACACCGACATGTGTAGCTCTGCTACTGCATATTTCAGCATATTTAAATATTAGGTAGGTAGGCAACTGTTTAGTTCAGACACCTCTGCATATTTGAATATTAGGTAAACACATGTAGTACTGACACTTCTGCATATTTGAATATTAGGTAGACATTTGTGTAGTCCCGACACTTCAGCATATTTGAATATTAGACCGACACCTGTAGTACCGACACTTCTGCATATTTGAATATTAGACAGACACCTGTAGTACTGACACTTCTGCATATTTGAATATTAGACTGACACTTGGGTAGTACTGACACTTCTAGTACCAGACACTTCTCCATATTTAAATATTAGACTGACATTGACACATTTTTATTTCAGTTGGGCATTAATTTTTTCAATTAATTACTTGTGTTTACACATTAGTGTTTTGTCTAGGGTTTGTATCGGTGTTGGTGTTTCTGGTTTATCACATGACTCTTATAATGATTTTATCATGACTGTGGTTATTGATTTTGACAGGTTATGTGCAGAGATTACATTGAACAAAAGAAGGAATTGCTTGTGGCAATACTAAAAGATAGACACCTTTCCAACCTTCCAAAGATCAAACAGGTATATATAAAAATATATAATTATTCTTAAATATACATCTAATTTTCAAACCTAGTAGATATGGTCCAAATGTCATTGCTGTCCTTGTTTTAGATTGTGGTTGGATATTTGTATTGAATGAGCACAAACTTATGTTTGAGAGAATTCCTATCTCTTGAAAAAAATGAATAACCTAAACGTAATTAGTGTCGTGTTGGTGTCATTAGACACACATTTATTCGGAGGTGTTGATGCTATTCGGTACTACAAAATGTGAATTTTCTCAAATGTTTACCATATATCTTTCAATTTGGAATGCAATGATTGAGACACATACACACAAACCAGCAAGTACATTACAATTTATATGATTCACCTTTGAATATTGATAACGTTATGGTTTTTCATTGAAGCTTCCTACTCTAATCATGTGGGGTGAACAAGATCAGATATTCCCTTTGGAATTAGGCCACAGATTAAAAAGGTGATAATATTTCAACTCAATGGAACTTCATTCATGTTGCTACTTACATTTTACGTCGAATTCGCGTGCATCTTACTAAACTTGTTAGCACAAACTCGTCTCCTCTTTGAAACAGTCATATAGGTGAAAACGCTCAAATGGTGATCATCAAGAATGCAGGACATGCATTGAACATTGAAAAGTCCAAAGAATTCGCCAGACATTTGAAGTCATTCCTCATCGATTCAGATTCGCGCCCTTCATCACCTTCTTTGAAAGCACAAATTCAAAAGACATTTCCGTTCGATTTCAGTAAGTCATAGATAGCACTTGTCTTTTTGACAAGGCCATCAAGATGATGAAGGTCTCAATTTTGGTTTCAATTTCGCAACTTTTTTGTTTGAAGGAAACTACCACTTTTAGTTGGTTGATGGCCTAAGAGCTTTTTTGTTTATTCGGGAGGGATCAAATTGCACTAAAGTTACACTGATAATTACGTTTTAACGAATACAAATTTTAACGAAATTCGCAGTCGAGTTGAAAGTTTATATATTAACGAAAAAGATCGATATCGGTATATAATACCTATTTTGTTATATTGCAGTTAGGTATTGGTCAGGCTGGGGTGCATTGGCATGGGGTGTTGCTCTAGTATTATTGCAGCCAATATTTGAAACCAAATTGTTTGTAATGCTTCTCATCATCTTTCTTCTAAATTTCTCTCTATGTTTCCTCTTTCTTCACAGTACTTAAGATGAACAAATAATAGTATCTACATTTTTATAAATATACTTTTATTTTTTACTATAGTTTTTGAGATATTAATATACTACAAAACACTTTTTTTTTAAAAGGTTTAACGATGATAGTTAAAAAAAAAAATTTTTAACGAATCGCTGCATAAATACACATTTGATATGATAATAATTTAAGTTTTACATTTGAGGACTAAACAATTGTTCCCTGGAAACTTCAAAATAGACGTGGAAATTGTATGATGGGTACGTATGCGGATAAGATGACAAACTTTGGTCACGACAAATTTTTGATAAACTTTTTATGGGTAATGTTAGGGTGATACATTTTTGGTGGGTAATATTAGAGGGAAGTTTTACCTCATACTCCTACACTTTTACCTATACTCCAATATTAAAAATTTTTGGACCAAAATATTCTCGTATAAAAATTTATTATTTTTTAACTTTTTTATATTTTTTTATTTGTTTACCGGAAGACTTTTTGGAAGTCTTCCGGTTCACATTTTTTTTTTATGTTTACCGGAAGACTTTTTGGAAGTCTTCCGGTTCATATTTTTTCGTTTGTTTACCGGAAGACTTTTTGGAAGTCTTCCGGTTCATATTTTTTTTTAATTTGTAATTAATATTTAAGATTTATTAACTTTATATAAAAACCAATTTAGTGAATTTTTGAATATTATACTTAAAATATAAAAATTCTATAAATAGAGAATTATTTTCAGAATATTTTCTATTTGCTATAATTATTAGAA